AAAAAAAACCACACCCCCCCCCCCCCCCCCCCCCCCCCAAGATTTACAGACCACACAGTTACCAGAGCATTTTTAAAGGGAGTATGTAGTTCCTTCCCCAAAGTAAAATCTGCTGGCCATCCCACCTACAGCAGAGAAAGCTACGTTGGCCCCGAGACTAAGCATCTGGGGAGGGAAGGGGGTAACAACAAGCAGAATAGCTTTGGCTGCATCCAAGGAAAACAGGGACAAAGCTAGGGGGAACTGAAGCAAAACAAGAGTGAGCACAGAGCAGTCTTTCCCCAGAAAGTCAGGGACTTCTCAAGGCAGAGGTGGTATCCACAGGACCTTGTTTAACAGGCAACAACGGCTTATCTGCCAGCACCTGGGTCTTCCCGAAGCTATTTATACTTCGCACCTACTCAGCGGCTTGTTCCACAACTTAATGATGTGCCAAAAAGGCCACACATTTCATTTAAACCTCAAGAGTGGGCCAGAGCTCAGAGCCCAGACAGAGCTCATCTGGAGGTACCAAGGTCACACCAGAGCAGAAACATCTTCCACCTCTGAATTTTACAATTCACCAGCAGCTGGGGAGGCAGAGAAATGGCAGGACATCTCACTTCACACAGGCCTTCCCATTCACTTCCCTTTCTCAGCCCTCCAGAGAGGGAGGGGCTGAGAGGGAGACTTGACACCAGCACTGTACAGCAAAGCAGGTTCTTAAGCCACTGTTTAAAGATTCACTAGGAGCCATCGCTACTGCAGCAAACCAATGCCACGAGTACAGGTTGCAAGGAGAGCCCTGTCTGCTCCCATCCATTACAGTAATTAATGCAGTTACAGCAAGACTTGCAAGAGGTAAGGGCACAGCATAAGAGCTGCAGGTACACCCTCACAAGGCAGCTAGCGAAAGGTGTGCAAGGAGGAGGCCACGTCACGGCTAGGGGGAGCCAGCAGACGGCAGCAACGCTCCATGGCTGAGCTCTGCAGCAGAGACACACCGGGCCATCCCAGTATCACACTCCTGCTCCCTTGCCAGCAGGGCTTTGCTCCTCTGGGCCAAGCAAGATTTCTGGCCTTGCCAAAGGACCCACCTGCTTTGTGGCCTGCAGGCATCTGCTCAACATCTGTGTCAGAGTCGCTGCTGTCGCTGCTGGAGCTGTCGCCTGGGGCTGCTGTTACAGAGGCCTTGGCGAGTGGGTTAGCAGCAGTCGTTGCTACTTTCCCTTGCCCTGCCTTGCCTACAGGCAAGGAGGGAACCGTCTTTGGTATCTGAGGTGCTGCTGGGACCTTGGAGAGGCCCAGGGAGCCTGTGAGGAGGGACTGAAGAGAGCACAGACACTAAGAGTCACAGCAAGGCAGTCTCTTACACTCCAAATACAGTTCTGTCCCTGCTATTGCCCCCATACTCTAAGCAAAGGGCCCACCTTTGGTCACCCATGGGCTGACCTGTGCACTCTTCAGCCAGCTGCCAGCCCTGCAGAGAAGGCAGGGCAAGGCAGGGCTACCAGGAGAAGGGGTCGGCACTGACAGACGCTGGCTGAGCTTACAACAGAAAGAGCTGATGGCAACAGGGTCACTCCTTTGTTCTCGCCCAGTTAAGCGGGCTTGGGGGAGGCTCCTGGCCATTAGCACGCACCCACGCACAGTTAATGCACTGCAGATGTGCTGCACGCCCTGCACATTACTTACAAAGGGAGTTTAATGGCTTGGACACAGGTTAAGTTGCAAATAAAAGTGGAGGAAAAAACCCTGCTGCTATTGGCACTGCGAACCAGTTCTCCTGGTTTAACTCTTGCAAGGCACCATCTCCTCCCATCCTTTCGTTCAATAGGGGAAGGTACAAGCCCTGCACCCAAGGCCTGGCTGCCTATGGAAGCGTTCCTAAGAGACCACATTCAAAAGCTTTTCTCTCCCCCACCACAAGGCCCTACTCTACAGCACTGCACTGGGAAGCCCCCTCTTCTGTGCTGACAAGCCCACTGAGCACTCCGCTTGCTCTGGCTGGGAACACGACCCTCTCTCTGTCCTGCTTTGGGGCCAGACTCAAGACCCAAGAGGATCCAAACCTGCTCAGGGATAGTACCTGTGATGCTGCCTCCTCTTCCTCGCTGGACTCCGAGGAGGAGCTGTGGGCTGGCTCAGTCCCTCCTGGTTTCTGCAGAATGCCTGCTGAAGGAGCAAAGTTCATCCCATCAGATCCATAACTGCCTCTTGGGGCTGAATTCATCCACCCAGCCCATAGGCACCACTGCCAAGGGGGCTTCTGCCTCCAAAGAAAGCACCCTGCAGAGCTGGAGAGGAGAAACTCTTCTCCAGTCACTATGTGAAGGTGACACCTCCCATGGGGTAAAACAAGTGTCACCCCTTACTCTGGTCTCGGTGCTGCCAGCCAAGCTAAGGCTGTGCACAAGCACACCTCTTGGCATGACACAGACAACATCTCCTCAGCAGAACTGACCAGGTTTGGGGAGCTGCTTGGGCGTCTCCTCCTCGTCACTGTCAGAGGAACTGCTACTGTCTGATGTCTCCTCTGCTTGCGTGGGTGGCACAGCCTGGCTTAGCCTGGTGTCCGGAGCAGGCTGCAGGCCTGGCTTCCTCAGCACAGCAGTGGGATTTCTCAGAACTGAGGCAGCCTGCAGAGCAGTAGTGTCAGTTGGAGGGCCTTTCCCCATGGGAGCTGTCTGCTTCAGGCATGGAGGAGGAAGAACCTAAGGAGAAGAAGAAATATATCTGAAAGGAGGAGTAACTGCTCATCCTCATGGACTATAGAAAGTGGCTGCAAATAGGTGGGCTTGGACCACCTGGGCCCTCCTTCAGCCATAACTGCTCCACTTCACGTCCAGGTTAGCCCAGCACCTTCCATGCAGGAAGATGAGACCCCCAACTCTCCATGACCCACAGACAAAGTGGGAGCTGTGGCCTGGCAGGCAACCCCTGACTGTACAGCCCACCGCTATTGCAAAAGGAAGAGGGGAAAAAAAGCCAGCCAGCTGGGAGGCAGGAAAAGCAAAGGTGACAGGGCTATCTTCCCCTCATCTACTTCACCTTATCATATGTTAACACTGCTTAAAATAGCGCTGCTCCCCCTCTTCCACCCCCTCCCCAGGCCCCCACGCATGCTCCCTCAGAGGGGGATACTTCACTAGCAGCCTGCGGGCCTTTGACTCCCACACACCCACCCCATCTGCCCACTCTCCCCAGGCAGGCTCCACAGTTGTCTCCTCCACCATTACCTCTCTCACAAGCACATCGCTCTCAGAGGAATCACTACTCGAGCTCTCTGATACTCTGCAGGCTGGAGGGACAGCAGGTGCTTTTATCCCCTTCCCCGAAGGCAGTGTGGCATTAGCCTTGGCAGCCACTGTACTTACAACCTTGGTTGGTTTGATGTTCTGCTGGGACAGACTCTAAAGCAGATATGAAAGAAAGTCATGACAGAGCATAGCTTGAAAGGTAAAAGAAAGAGAAGCACACCCCAAATCCACCAGCTCCTGACTCCTCCCCTAATTTTTCAGGGCAGCCCTGAGGCCGATTTATTTTCTGCCTTTATCTGCCAGCTTTCTCTACTGTGCACCTCCAAACAGGGCCTCCAGCAGACTAAGGAGCACACACATGAGGGCCCGCACACCTGGGTGTGTGTACTGCATTAGCTCACTGCCCACACGGCATCCATGCCGAAGGCAAGCAGCTGAAACGCAACACGCTCGCAGCCTGCAAGATACCTATCCGCTGCAGCACCAGGAGGACAGCAAGATGGAAGAAGTAAATGCTATTTTGCAGGATGGGGATTCAGACTCCAGGATGACTCCTACACTCGGATATCTCACAATGAGGGTTAATTGGCTACACAAAGCAAGGACACCAACCGTAAGGCAAATTTTGTCCTCAGATCCACAAGTCAGTCGTGGATCAGAGAGCAAGTTAACAAGAAGCAGCTGTGTTTCTTGACTCTCAAAGCATACCATCAAACTGAATAAAGAGGGGTTAAAACCAGAAGAGCCAGGGATAGGGGAAATCAGACACTGACATCAAGTCCAAGGCATAAATGGCAACAGAGGAGAGAGCAAGAGCGATGGAGGAGTGCTCAGCCTCCTGGTTTGTGTTACAAACAAGGCTACGTGAGCAGCCCTCCCTCCCCAGATCTCTGACAAGCTGGGCCTTTGTGGGCTGACATTTCTCACACACAACATCTGGCCTTCGGAAGGGAAGGCAACACTCCACGATGCAGAGAGCCGCCAATCCAACGTGCGCTTTCAGCCGTCTTGTGCACAGCTCAAGTTACAGCAAATGCGTTATTTTATACGATCTTGGTGTTACAAACAAGCTTTAATCAAGGACTGCTCAGGCTGGCTGCCTGCCCACAGCTGGGGAGAAGGCAGCCCTTTTCAGCAACCACAGCATCAGGCAAACACGGGGAAGGGCTTCCTTGAATGCACGTAATCCTCCTCTCCCAACAAGGGTGTTGACCAGAAAGGGGACGCAGATGCATGGCAAGAGAAGTCACTTGGCTGCTAAGCCCTGGGCTCAGAGAACCTGTCCCTTTTGCAGTAGGGAAACCACCACCAAGTAGGAGCAGCAGCCATGCTCCCTAGTCAAGGCTTCCTCACGTGGTTCCTTTCCTGGGCTCAAACCACAGCAGAAGTGCGGCAACATGAAAAGAATCAGGTGAGAGAGCTGGGATCGACTCCGCAATACTCAGATCACCCCCACTATGCAGGGGTCAATGCAATGTAGTGCTTCTCACAATGATATGGGGTCACCTCCATTCTTTAAGGCAGGAGTCTGACTCCTTTTCTGGCTGAAAGGCAGCACGGCCACTGTGTTACTCTTTAGGGCAGATCCTACCAGCCTCTTGGGGGTAGGGGAGTGGGAGTCCAGAGTCCTCCAGCTGTACCTCACACCAAGGGGGTTTGGAAAAGGCAGGGTGCAGGTTGCCTTGGAGCTACCTGGCTCACAGAAGGACTGTCCATAAGGATTTGGCTGCTCTTCTGGCCTGTTTAATTTCCAGGACTAGGGCAAAGGGGACAGAGTCCTAGAGGCCTGGGCTTGTGTATCTAGTCATGTTCCTGTCAAAACAGTCGCACCCTCCCCTGCTCACACACAGCAAGCTTGCTGAGGCCGAGACACACACCCAGCACTGGGGTCACTGAGACCCAGGAACGCTGCAAAGAAGCCTTGATCCAGCCAACAGGAGGGGTCCTCTCTCTATCATTCATCACCTACCCAACTATCATCTTGCAGGTCCTGAGATGAGTTATCTCATGAGTGTGTGGGGCAAACAGTGCCCATGCTCAGCAGGTCAGCAGCTCCTTACCTGCGAAGGAGGGATTATTTCCTCCTCTGAATCTGACTCCTCACTGGAATCATCACTGCTCTCTGCAGGTGGAGGGGCTGGTGCTGGCACTGGCGCTGGCGCCTTCTTCCCGCTTGTCAGCTTGGGCACAGCATTGGTTTTCACTGCAGCAGGAGAAGCATGAGAGAGTCACCATAAGCAAGAGCTGCTCTCCTTGGCCGTCCAGAGCAGGAACTATCCTAAGAGCCAGGACAGCTCTGCAGGCAAGGCAGAGAAGGAAACCCAGGTGAAAGAGAGCAAAGGGTCCTGACCGCTACCAGAAGGAACCTTACCAGCTGGTGGAGGCTGTTTCTGTGCCACAGGGGTCTCTTCTTCACTGTCAGATGAGTTGCTGCTCCCGCTCTCTGAGGTCTGGTTTTTCAAGGTGCCTCCCACTGCCTTTTCAGGCCCCCCAGCTTGAGCAGCCTGGCTCAGGTTGGGAACATGTCCAGGCTGTTCTGTTAATCTCTTAATAAAAAAAGAAATACAGACTCAGACATGTAGCGTTACTATAGGTTTTGTTTAGGGGTTTAAGTGCAGTTTCAGTTCAAGCTAGGTTTTGTTTTGACCTAATACAGCTGTTGCTAACACTCACTCCATCCTTAGCGTGTCAAGACTGGAAGTGGCTTCAGTTACTGCCTGGTCTGAGCTGCTGAAAATGCATGCCGCTGCATTTAGCAATGCACATTTGACAGGAAGACCAAGTGCATTTTATCTCATGAGTGTGCAGGGCTAACTGCTCATAAATCTCATTGCAACAAGACTTCAGGAGGAGCCATCTAGCAGAGAGGCAGGCAGGACAGCCAGGACAGCTGCTACCCCAGGGCAGCCAGGAGCACAGTCCCTCCGCACCTCAGCCTCTCCAGCTCCCAGATCAAGCCCTCGCCCACAGGTTGCAGTCCGCAATGGACTGAGCTGGGGATACCCGCCGGCTCAGACCCCACTCCAGGGCTGGGAACAACAGGTAGCCAGGAACAGGAACAGTTTAACCCAGAGCAGCAGGTTGCTAAATGGCCACAGAGTCAGGGCTCTCAAGTGACTGTCCTGGGTTACGTACTGCATCTCAGCTAAGATGCAGCAAGTCAAAGCCCAAAGGTACTGAGGGAAGTCCCATGATATCAGAGAGCTAACAAACCCACTCCTCAAATAAAGTCACAGGGCTCAATACCTCATTTTCACCTCACCCAGCAGTACCTCAGCCTGCCATGCAATTCTTTAATGAGGCTGAGACAGGCTGGGTAGGAGTCTGAAGGGAAGAGCAGCACCCCAGTCCCCAAGCCCCCGTTCCAAAGAAGCCTCTCATTTGAGCATAACCTCTCTCTAGCTTGGGGAATCAGCAGAAACCGGAAAGCCTTATGCCAAAACATTTGCAAGATTCAAAAAAGGTGTCAAAGCAGTTACTCTGTAGAGCTGCTGGAGAGCTCAGCATAGAGACAGGCTGCCACAGGAGTTTGGGAACATGAAAGGCAGGCAGAAACAGACCCAGGCTATGACTGAACACCTTGGAAATTAACCTGTCAAAAGGTCTAAAAGAGTTTAAAAATCCTCAAACAACAAAAAACCCTACAATTCACTTGGGCTGTGCCCTTTTACAGCACCTGCCAACATTGATATCCAGGACCCAAAGGCAGGCCATGAGCCACTGCTCCCTGAGGCTGGTGTGTCAGCACAGTGAAGCCACATTCATCGCAGTGCTAGACATACAACTACCAGGTAAGATCTCCTCTTCCTGGCCCCTCTCCCAGCTTGGACAGAGGGCTGCAAACATCCCTCCCGCACGCTTCTGTAGGCTAGTGGCGGCACAGGGAGAGGGAGAGCTCGCTGGGAGCTCTGCTAACTTCACCACCCGCAGATATTGTTCAAGCTAGCAGTGCTCTGCACCCACTCAGTCTACTCTGCTCATCGCTCATCTCCGGGCTGTTCTGCCAGAGACCAGCACCACATTTGCCAGGGCAGGCAAGACCCATCCAACCCACACATGACAACAGCCCACTTTGGTGCTCAGTTTCACAGCCCAGGGTCTCCTGTAAGAAGCAAAAAAGGACTCTTGCCCTGCTGCACAGTCATTGCAATCTCCCTTTCCCAGCCCTGCAATGCTGCTAACCCAGGGACTCTCCTCCCACCTCAGATCCCTTCTCTCAGCCTGCAGCAGAGGGGTACCTCAACACTGTTGGCCCATCTGGGGGCAGCTCCTGGCCAGCAGCCGAGAGCACCAGCCTAGCAGCCTCCAAGGAAGACAGATCTTATTGCGCTTCCTGGCACAGCCCCGCTGGGGGCTGCCACTGGGGCAGTGTTTATCATTTCCAAGCCAAACACTAAACAGACAACAGCATCTGCATGTTTATCCCATTACAGAACAGCTCTCCGAACAAGTCAAGCACATTTCTGCTTAGAGAAACAGAAACCTCCACAAGCACTTGGGGAGGGGGGATTGCAAACCTCACTTGCCTGTTTTGTTTTGATACCACTGAGTCACTATCTCCAGGAGAGAGGCCAGATTTGCAATGGTGAAGAGAGAACCACTTGAAGCAGACAAGAATTTACTTGGTCTGCTTGAACCTACCAGCTCCTCTCCCTCTCCTTCCTGAGCTCGGGTACCCAAGGGAAGTGTCTACCAAAAAAAAAAAAAAAAATCACACCCTACTCACTCACTCCTAAGACCTTCACAGCAAGGGGTTTGGTTTCTGCCTCTGCTCACATACACAGCGTGAGGGCTCGTTCATTTTCTACGCTTAACAAAAGACTGGCAGAGAGCTGTGGAAGAACTGTACAGAGGCATGCATCCTGACACAGAAAGAACGCAATGGCACCCACAGACAAACCACCACAAGCTTTATACAGCCTGAAGACTCCTCACGCCTTCCCAGGTGGAGGCCGAGGTCCCTCTATTTACCTTATCTTGGTTCCTGCCAGAGGGCCGACAGCTGCCATCTCCCATGGCATGGCCCCAGACTGGCTGAATTACACCCAGAGAGAGGGGCAAGACAAGCAGGGGCTTTCTGACATCTTAGAGTCACAGGTACCTAGGGGTAACTGAGGGGAGGAGGAAAGCAACTCAAGAGGAAATCGTTTTTCCTCCTCCCTCCCCCAGCCCCCAAAGCAGGAGCTGCCTGCGGATCAGTACGAGAATGATGACTCAGCTGCCACATAACCCATCTGCCACTCTGCCGGGTCCATTTGCATCATGCAATTCTGCATGACAAGAGAGGGGGGGAAGCAACGCCAAGCCACGTGCGCTGAGCAAATTATAACAATTACACTCCATTGCTGCCTGTGCACTGTGGAAGCACTGTATCAGAACTGGGACTAATAGCTCAGCTGTGTCACGACACGGGGAAGGGAAGGATTGCCACCTGCATGGAGTGGGGACAGGATTCAGGGACGAGGATAGAGATAGGAGGCAGATTTGGCCTCCCCTCGCTGGGCCTGCAGGCTGCGATAAAAACTTGCAGACAAAGCTCCTACCAGTGCAGCCTGCACGAGTTTTCCTGCGATGCTCAAGACACACACAGGTTCCCAACACACACGTGTATATGCCCAACACCAATGAGCAGAAACCAGATTCTGTACCTGGAGGGCTCCAGTGCCACTTTCAGCCCACAAGGTCCAGGAAAGGGGAAGCAAAGCAGAATTAACAGTTGCAAAAGAGAACCAGCTCAAAGCATCTTTAAGGACAGTCCAGACTCTTCCCCCACCACCGTTCTCCAAAAAAAACATGCAAGCACCTTGTCAACTTCTTTGACTAAATATTCTTGAGTCTTCAGGGGTAAACACACCAATTAAGCAGTTCAATTTAGGCATGATGTTCATTTTAATTGTGCTAATCCACCCCCACAAGGAAAGATGAAGCAGCTTCCAACGCTCTGTATCTGTTTGGATCTTGCACAGAAGCCAGAGGAAGTTGCAGGATACAGCAAGTCAGTGGTTAGCATATGCCCGAGTAGCAGATGGTGAGGATGAGCTAAGAAGAGTTTGACTAGGAGGACAGGACTGTGGACACAGATAAGCCTAATGGTTTAACTTCAGGCTTCACTCATGGTGTCTGCCTGCAGGCTACTACCACAGGGAGAAACAGCCATTTTGGCAAAAATAGAGCTCCCTTGATCACAAGTTTTTCCCTGACTGTGGTAGGCGAAGGGTAATCACCAGTCTGAAGAGGGAAGATGATGAAGTGCTAAAATAACCATCGGCAAGAGAGCTACCTGCTGCTGCCAGCTTCAGACCAATACTGGGTATTAAAAAACAAAAAAAAAAAACCACACACCCCACCTCAGCAGGTCCTTCCCCTCCAACCCTGCTAAAACAGACAAGCCTCAGTTTTACAGCAAGCACCCATGACAGAGCTATCAGAATAGCTGCTTCTGCCACCCAGAGCTGAATCTTCACATATAATCATGCAGGAAGAGAGCAGCACAGAGCCAACTGTTGGAGACGCGTCCCCCTCCACCCACGTCAGCAGGCCAAGGCTATAAAGACAAAATGCAGAGTCTCTCTGGCTCCTGCCTGTCAATACCAAAAGGACGTGTTGACAAAGAGCCTCCTTGCAAAAACGCGTGAGGCTCTGCCCCCAGGTTCCCTGCCTCCCTAGCAAATAATAGCTGCCGTCTCAGAAACACCGCTATCAGGCCGCTTTCCGAAAGGCCCTGCAGCTCAGAGTCAACGCGGCAGGTCTCCATACAACAGACCTGGGATTATCAAGGCCCTGTTTCACCAACCAGAAGCACAGCAAGTCCCACTCACAACAGGTAGGAGGATGCTCTCAGGAGGGGATTTGTCTTCCAGCAACTCCAGCCACATAAGCCCGAGCCTAGTCTGGGTTCATGGCTCTTCTCTCAGGAGGGGCCTAAACACTCCCTCATAGGAGGGCTAAGCTGCTGGTGACGCCTCAGAGGAGCGGGACTTGAGTGGAGTGAAACCAGTCTGTGTCACATAGATTAGGGCACCCCACCCTCTTCCTCTATTCCCTGCGCAGAGACCAGACTGCTGCTGGGGCATCACCTCTCATCTCAGCTTTCCTGTCGCATCTTACAACAGTTTTTGCATCAGGGAAGAGCCAGACAAGCCCCAGGATAAGGTCAGATATTCGGTAACCCTCAACTAGCCCCCAAGAAGTTCTGTCTCTGTGCGATGAGACAAAGAGGTGAAAATAACAGGTAAACAAAGCCACATCTGGGTGAGAAGAGTTAGCTATGCTTGTTTCCAGGCAGGAGGAAAGGCCCCTCCCAGGGGAGAGAAGATGCAAAGTACTACATGCTACTGGCATTTCAAAGAGATCAGCAGTAGCATGCAATGGCTGAACTATTGTTCTGTGCATACCTCATCTTTCAAGACTGAGCTGAATGCGGCATCACCAACCTTCTGGCTGACAGGCACAGGGAGATCCTCCTCTTCACTGTCTGAGGAATCAGTGCTCTCCACCGGCTTCGTACTTTCAGCAGGCTTTGCGGGAACGGCAGTCCTTCCCAGCCCAGTTTTGCCCTGCTTTGGCACTGCTGGTTTTGGTGCTGGCTTTCCTTGGGCTGATGGAAGTGCTTTTGCTGGAGCTGCTTTGCTGGAGAGCGATGCTGCCGGTGTGGGTTTCACTGGGGATGTGATGGCCTGGGAGGATTTTGTAGGTGGCTTTGTCTGGACAAGACAAAAAACAGCATGAAACAAGGTGAATCCCACAGTAGTACAATTCACATACTCAGAATGGAATCAAGGGAAGAGATTTCAGCATCCTCTCCAAACGGCAAACGCTGAAGGAACATCAGCGACTGGCAGGAAAGATATGGCATTCTTTCATCTGGCTATCTGGGGATAGCCTTCCAAGATGAGAAAGCAAGATCAGACATTCCTTCCCAGCCTTCAGATATTACCAGTCACCTCCAGTGAGGTCAGGTACAGCACTCTGCGCTCTCCACAGCAGGGAAATTAAGTTGCACTACAGTTTGCCAAATTAGACACTATAGATCACAATTTATAGCTGAGAGGCAAATTCAACCATGATAACTTGCCTCTTAAGTGAGAACGGAATTGCTCTGTTTTTATTATATTCAACAGCACTGACCAAATTTTAACTTCCAATTCTGCACTGCCCCCCTCCCCCCCCAAAAGAAAGGCAAAGACATTCTGGGGCCTCGGAATGCTCCCCCTGCAAACATGACTTTGCTATATGCTGCATCTAATTAGAGATTTTTCCTTCCCTGCAATTCCTAGCCTTAGAGAGGAATGCAAGGGGAGACTGAGTCTCAGAAAGACACACTTGGGTTACTGATGCAGGTTCCTCATTTTCATTGTCTGATGAGTCGCTGCTCTCTGAACTGTCATCAGGCTTTGCAGCCCCAAGAACCGTTGTTGTTCCAAGCTTGGTCTGGTTTGGTGCCGCTGCTGTTTGCCTCACTGCGTTCTTCTTGGTGGACGCTGCAGCGGCAGGCACGCTTTTCACAGGTGCTGCATTAACCTGCACTGCTTTCACAGCTGGTTTTGCCTGGGAACAAGAGAAAGAAAGGGATCGGGGGATTCCCCCCTATATGTTTAGGAGGGAAGAAACTGGTTGAGGGTTGCAACTGTGTAGAGCCACTTTACCAATTTGGCTAGGGTAACAGGTAGGCTTGTTCAGACCCACGAGCTGTGGAACATCTGAAGCAAGTTGCTTCCTCCGGTGGACTGTCTGACCGGCCTGCATGCCTCCTGCATTTGCAGGAACTGTGGAATTACATGCCAATCACCTCTTACAGATCAAAGACTCTCCCTCTGCTTCAGACACTAGGAAGAACTGGGATGGAGTGGCAGGGGTTGGTGGGGCTCTCAGTCACACAGTGTGTCTCCACGGTCTTGGGTTTGGGGATCCCATACACCCAAGGAAGAGAGTGTTGACAGACTGCAGCAGTGCTGGGCTTTCACTGCATTTTCCCCACCTCCCCTTCAAGACCAGGGAAGTGATTTCCTAGAAAGGAGGACCCTGGGCTGAAGAGGTTACCTGGACTGCTGGAGTTGTGAGCTCCTCCTCAGAGGATGTCTCATCACTTGATTCCTCACTGCTACTCTCAGCCGCCCCAGCCGCCTGCTTCAGCTCTGAAACATAAGCAAGAAGATGTCACAGCTGCTGCCAGTTCCAAGTTCCCAAAGTGAGATGCTAATGCAGCTTTTGAAGTCGGGGCGGGGGGAAGAGAGCAGCCGAGAGAGGCTAAGGGGATTTGCAGGGAAGAGGGCCTAGTCTCACCGAAAGCACTGATGGCCTGCTGGGAACAGCTTTCCCAGAAAAAACAAAAAACAAAAAAAAAAACCACACACACCTTTGCCTGCAAGCACCACTCCTCAGTGTGGGCAGAGATGAGAAAACCCTCCTGGCTAGTCTCAGACCTTAAGGGCAGCTGCCCAGGCAGACACAGCTTCCTGCAGGAGCACCTAGCCTGGCTGCATCTTATCTCAAAGAGAGACAAGGACAGAGCTTCTAGGTTCTATTCCTTCCCGCATCTCCAAAGCGGCAAAGGGGATTTTCTTAAAGACTTCAAAAACCAAAAACAAACATTCACTTTGCAATTGGGATCAAAACACAGAATGCTGAAGTGCCTTTCCAGAAACCTGAAAGCATCTATAGTATTAGCACTGCCTCTTCTCCAAATCATCTCTAGTGCTGCTGGAGATGCACACAAACTCCTTCACCACAGCATTTAGTACCCCAAATGAGAGCAAGCATGCTGGAGTCATCTCATGGAGCTCCAGAGCTGCCTGCTTTGCAATATTCTTGCAGTCTTCCTGGGAGCATGCCATGTTCTGAGCTTTCCAGTAAGGGAGCTGAAAGAAGCATACCACTGGCATAGCTCAGACCTGATGCACAGCAAAACCAGAGCACACATGCTTTCACCCAACCCTGCAGGCTCCTTACCCACTTTGGGGGCTACTGAATTCACTGCTGGTGTCTCCTTTTCTTCTTCACTCTCTGATGAGCTGCTGCTGTCGGAGCTCTCCGCTGCATTGGTCGTTACTGGTGCTTTGCTCTGACCCGCTGTGCCCAGGGCTGCTACTGCATGTCCCAGCTTCTCAGGACAGGCCAGCTTTTGCCCAGCCTTGGCCAGAGGTGCAGACACAGCTGGTGTATTGGGCTTCTGCTTATTTGAGACCACAGCTCTGTGTGCAGCAGAGGCCACCGCTGCCTTGTCTGTCGGAGCAGTGGGTTTACTAGGAGAATGCAGGGAGTTGGCAGCTTTGCCACTCACCGCAGCTGGCTTCACCTACAGAAGGCAAAAGAAGTTAGAAGACCATGGATGAATAAAGGACTACACTGGACGTGACATACCTTAAACAGCACTCTGGCAGCTGGGCAAACTATACAACTCTTTATGGAAGTGTTTGGGGGACAGATATCTATGAGAAGGCTCATGCCAGCCTCATTTAAATATCAATTCCACCCCAGCCCACAAATACTACATATGCCAAAGAGGCTGGGACAGCCCTGCTCTCAGAACAACATCATCCCCAAGGCCAAGACAAGCATGCTCTTACCGTAATTACATCTTTTCCAGCTGACGTCTCTTCTTCTGATGAAGAGTCATCATCCTCACTGCTTTCTATGTTCGCTGCTGAGTTTGTGACCAGGGGAATGCTGGCTGCAGCACAGGAGAGAGCCACAGAGCAGTAATGCAAGAGATGCCTCCCGTCAGGATGGTCTCTGGTCCGTGGGAAGGCCCCAGCAGACAGGACAAGGCCCTATCTTTGCACCTGCCCCAACACTAGAGCCACTGCCCTTGCAACAGGCAGGCACTTTGCTCCCCTTCTCCCCACAACTGAGACAAAAAAACCTGCCAAGAGTTACATGTTTCCAAGGGCTGGTCTGCCGCAGATGAGACTCAGCCAAAACATTTCAGATTCACAGGTTTTTAAGTCACATTATTTAAGCTAATGCCTCACACATTAGCTGGGGAATCCATTCCCACCTCAGAGGGAATTGGTTTTCCAGATCAACTAGAAAGTCTTCCTTCCCTCACCTGTGAGGGAAAACTTCCTTTGCTGACCTAACAGATGCCACAACTGATCAGATGATGCTCCCCACTGGGCACCGTTAGGCTCCCAAGGCTTTATCCAAGCTAGGACGCTCATCTCTTCTCCCCCCGCCCCGATGAGCCATAACTATCAATTCTACCACATCACAAAGACGCCATTTCACACATTCAACAAATTCAGGGAAAATGGCTCCTTGCTGAGCTTCAATTCAGCAAGCTTAGCTTGAGGTGAAGAACAACGGACGCTCGGCTGGACTTTTGAGAGTGGTAGCTTCAGGTGCAGACACCACGCTAGTGTGAGACACTGCCAAACCTGCTGTCCTAACCTACCAGTGATGGATGCTGGGAACAGGACAGACCCTAAGGGGGAGGACTGTACCTATGCAAGTTAGCTGGAAACCTGGTAAGTGCTGAATCCAGGCAGTGACGTAACTTTCAGGGCTGGAAGGGGTGATAGCAACAGTGGTGACAGCACTTGCTTCAGAGCTGATCCATACCCAACAGGATACAGGTCTACTCAAACTTGAGTAGCGTGCGTCCCTGGTCTCAGCCTCCCCAGAGGCATTAACTTACACTACTCTCGGGGTGGGCTTCTGCCAGTGCCAGACTCCGATACGGGTCAATGGGGACACAAACACGTACAGCTACAGGGCAGTGACTGGGGCAGCTACATTCATATCAGAAGGGGACACTTCTCCAAGGAGCTATGCTCGTGCACACCAATCAAGCAGACTCTGTGAGAGGAAGAAAGGAAAAATCTATAGGAGAGGAAGAGCAAGAGAGCAGGAGTGAAGACAAAGAGATATGCTTTCTCCCTATATCTTTGACTTACTTTCCACAGGAGCAAACTAAACCTAGCTCCTAACACCAGGATCCAATTCCACAGGCTTTTGCTAGCTTTAGCAGGCATCTCTGCTCCTCAGAAACTCTACAGAGACAGAGGTGCTCAGTTAGTTGTCCCATTTTCATAAACGTGTCCAAGTATCTGAAGGGATCTGGCCATGTTTTCGAGGTGCTGGGCCTTTTTTTCCGTGGTGTGAGGGTGACAGAGCATTGGAACAGGTTGCCCAGAGAGGTAGTGGAGTCTCCTTCCCTGGAGATATTCAAAACCCGCCTGGATGTGATCCTGGTCAATATGCTCTAGGTGACCCTGCTTGAGCAGGGAGGTTGGACTAGATGATCTCCAGAGGTCCCTCCCAACCTAAACGATTCTGTGATTTTCCTAGAAGCATCAGGAAATAGCCATCACTTTACAAGCATTTTCTCTGGCCAGTAAAACTGGGCTGCTCTTACACAGTCCTACTCAGTAAAAACATGGGAAGATAAAAGGCTCCTACCCTTGACAGCTTTTGTCTTCTCTTTCTCATCCTCTTCTTTCTCTGAGCTCTCAGAGCTGCTCACAGGATCAGGAACTCTGATCTTTTCTGGGATGACTGCCTCCACATCACTCACCTTCCTTCTCCTGGAATTGGAGGGAGTTCTGAGGAAACAGATTTGATAAGAGTAGAGAGGAGGCGTCAAAAAGGGGAACAGCTCCTGAAAAAAGAACAAATCTGAACACTCATTAATTCAGCCACTCTCAGGTCTGACACAAGCCTCAGGACAAGCACTGTCATTCCTCCTCCTCGACTCCTGAGGGGAGGGGAGAGCTCCATAGGTAACCTGCAAGATACAGCTCTGTCCTCCTCAGGCAACTCCTAAGAGCAATATATCCTTTCAACACTTGGAGGAGTTACTGGATACAAATTTTACCTAGGACAAGGAAAGAAAGCATCTTTCTCACATTAGCAGAGAAGCAAAAACATATTTAGCCAGGCTGACGCTCACCACAGCAAAGGCAACCTGTAGAACAAATTCAGTCTCCACGAGACAGCTATAGCCAGAAAGAGCAATTAACCGATGCTACCCCAGGGTTAGAGCAGAGAACCCCAGACAGGTTCTGGTACTCTGTGAGGCCACGGCAACTGAAAGTAAAGGCTTCACAAGCCATTTGTATTTGGACACTTCAGCCAAAAGGAGATAAAAGTCAGGGTGCAGAGGAGGAGGGTTTCACTGGCATAGCTGTATCAGCAACTCTTTTGCAGGCAGGCCTGCAACTATTCCAATAATAATTTCAACAAAACATAGGGCAAGCCATGCAAGCAGCTACTATATTCCAACGCCTTCCTAATTCGGTGGCAGCTGATGATATAGAGACTATTGTGGGAATTCACACTGCATTTGACCAGGGCTCAGGGATGCACTGCACGAGAGTACAGCATCGCCTGCCCTCAAGCACTGGCCCTACAGCAGCCCAGAGCAATTAACTGCAGCATTACTCTGTCTAACTGCTCCCACTGCTTCTGGGGCTGAGCCAGTCCAGCTTCGCCACCTCACCCAAGCATCAGGCAGCTCTACCTGTCTTTCCAGTGAACTCCAGGACTAAACATAGCCCATTCTTACATAGGAGAAGGAGGCCATTCTTAAATAACCGCAAATCTCAACTGTTAAATTCACTCTGAAAGAGTTTAAGGAGAGCATCAAGGATGACCTCAGGCAGACAGAGAAGAGCTGCAGCACAGAATCTGGGGAAAGGCATTTTGAGGCCAAAAGCCTGTGAAGTGAAACAAGACGTGAGAATCACAGCTCACTCGCACGAGACCTCTTCAGCTAAGCAGGGCACCTCCTGGATAAACCAAACAACTGGTCAATACGTCCCCCATTTTGACTCCAGCCCAGACATAACAACAAGGGGAGACAAGGAATAAGAGGCAGACCTGTCAGGAAGAACTACAACATAAGGGCGACACCAGAGAAAGAGGAGTTAAACGTGATGCGAGTTCCTGTTGCCCTCCACGGTTTAAAAGTAAAAGTGTCTGGAAGGGTGAGCAGCAGAGCCCAGGATATCTGGCACACAGAACAGTCAGCATCAATACCCAAGACAGCAACACATTGTTATGGGGAAGAACCGCAAACCCAATTCCACACTCTTATATCTCCAGCTGGTCCCACAGCATCTCTCCTGCTCAGTTAAGAAAACCGTGGAGACGCAAGAGCAGGGTGCCCGCAGCCCAAGGCATTTTAGCAAAAAGTACTTCTGGAGCAAACACCCACCCTCCAAGGCTGCTAGCACAGCCAGACTGAAGAGTATCTTCACTCAGGTGCTCTGCAGCGCTGGCCAGACTCCACAGGCACAGAAAAACAGCTACACTGATCCCCCGTTAACCTGGCTCTGTGGCTTCAACCATGCCCATCTCTGCAGCAATGCACTTCTGCATCAAAATAAAGCAAGCAGCACAGAGAACGGGTGCAAATATCATCCCATGCTGCAGATGTGAAAGCCTCAGGCTGCAGACATTCATGGTGGGGGGTATTCAGCTGAATAACTAAGTGTGAAGCCATCGGGACTAAACACGTAAGCACGTGCAAAGGCAGGCTGAAACCTAAAGTGCCTTCCTTTAAATCATAAATTATGTGACCTATGCCAAGATGTAACTTCCCTGTAACAGCTTTGACAGTTCTGATTCAGCAGCCTCTGCTCATAGGCAGTTCACGTGTTCAGCCCACACTGGCCAGCGTCCACATCCCTGAAAAGCACATGGCTTTAAAAAAGAAAGTGAAATGAAACCGAAAAAGAGACTTTTTGCCAGTAGAGCATGGTTCTAACCCCTGTAATACTCCAGTATCACCCCCAACAGGCAAGAACAGCATCAGCTTCTCAAAAACAGAGCAACAACTCATCCCCAAGCTGAAGAAATTTTAACTTAATTTTTAACATCTCAAAGAAATCTATCTGAAAGCAGGGCCTAGCAGGAAAGTTCCCGGAGCATGCTTACTGTGGGAAACACCCTGACAAAAGGAAATTCCAACAAATAGAGGCCACAAGCGTAACACGGCTTGGTTGCTAACGCGGTCTGGAATGCGTTCCTCAGCAATCTCCTCCTCAGACTTACTTTTGCCAGTGGGTAAAGATCTCCTCCAGTGAGGTCGACAGGGAAGGAAGCAGTTTCTGTGGAAGCAGAGAGAGCGCAGCTCAGTCGGCAGCCGCCGGGGAACGCGGCGAGCGGGGAGGGCAGAGGGGGACACCTCCTCCCCTCGTGCAGGCGCTCCCCCAGCGAGCCCTCCTCTCCCGGAG